CTACAATCCGGACTTCGGCCTGTTCGGCGGAGGAGTTTCTCCGCATTGTAGCGGAGAAAGTACGGTGGGAAGTGTTTTTGGATGATCCGAAATCGGAGGGAGCGTGAAGTTTCGTTTATTGAGGCCGCCCGCCTGAGGTCATGCTTCCAACTGAGTGCTTCCGCCCCAATCTCCCAACAGGAAGACAGGCCTGTCGCTCGCTCGCCCGCCCGCCCAACCGCCTGTTCGACAAGTGTCTGGGCTCGGGCTCGTTTGCCGTCGGCTCGCTAACGAAGCGGAGTCTAAACACTCTGCGACGGGGAACGGGCTAGCTTGAACAAGAGGAGAGCCGAGCTAAGGCGGATTTGAATTGCACGTGCCATTGTGCAAGTTTGCGAGAGTCTGCCAATTGGGCGCGAGCGCACACGCACGCACGCCCGCTCGCTCAATCGTTCCACATAGTGAGCCGGCTGATTTCAAAACAAACATTTCACGAATCGAGTTCGTGATGCCGGATCTTACTCGTCGAGACTGAGCTCCTGAATTTTCCGGAAGAGTCCAGATTTTTAATTGATACCATTCTGGGAACAGAAGATCGGATAGCCTCGCGAGATCTCGGACGGAGCCTGCGCGAGCTCAAAATGAAGTCCCCCGCAATCGACCGCCGCAGCGCGGCTTGTGTTTCTCCGTCCGTCATTCGTAGGCTTGCAGGAACGCTGCCAGCTCGAAAGTTTTGCAACGCCGAGATTGTCAACGGCAGATCCTTGCGAAAGCCCCGAGGCTCGCTCGAGGCTCAGCCGGGGAGCTCATTTTAAATTTTGGCCCCGAGCGGAGACCGATTCAGAATCGAGGCCCAGGACCGAGATGAAGGAGGAGGACAACGCGCTTTCGCGATGCCCTTTCGTTGGAGATGTCCCCCGAACTCGAATCGATCCTCGACATCTTGTTTTCCCAGCGAGCGTCCGCCGGACAAACTGCTCCGTCCATCTAGAAAGCGCCTCTTATCAGCAACGCGTTGCTCCGGAACGAAGGAGAAAACATCTCGCGAGAATTTCGATTTTCGAGGGCCTCACGAGGGTGATCCGAGAGGTGCTAAGAACAGGATATCGAGCGGTCTGCGCAAGAACAGGTAGGCGCGTGTTAGTCGAGCCGGTCGAATACGGCATCGATCGCGGGATAAGAGAAAAATGAGTTGCCGGACTCGGTCTCATACGAATCAATTCGGGGCAACACCCCTCGGTTTCATTTTCTTGACGAGACTGGCTTCGTCTTTCGGAAGAGGCATCCCGAGGAAACAATCACATCCAGTGCGCCGAGACTGTCGCTCGGCGTTAGAACCTGAAGGGCATTCCTTCATTACCGGGTTTGGGCCCCGAGGCAGTCACACGGGGGGCGGAGCGCACGGTAGAGTTTTTTTAGGGTAGGCATACCCGCCATGGTCAATGCTCATAGAGGTTGTGTTTTCCGACGTAATTTTTTTCGACGCGGTTCCTATTATAATTTTCTTGATTATATTATAATTTCTTGATATTATTATTATTATTATCATCTGCTATAAACACGATGAACTTTGGGGGGGTATTGTTCGGATCAGGGACACGGGCTCTGGCATGATGTCCGCAGTTATGAGAGCACAGCCGCCGTGAGATCACAAATCTCCAGTTGAGATCAGGGCCGATCCAGGCTCGGGAGTCCGACAGATCTCGTCCGGTGTGAATTCCCCGCCTCTAGTCTCAAAATCGAAAGTCGTCCCGGACTCAATCACGACGGACGACATTCGATCCGCCGGGTCGGCCCAAACATCGAAACAAGACTCTGTCAACAAAGCTGGCGACAAGGAGAAGGCGGGAGCCGAGGGCAGAGACAGTCGGAGTCCGCTGTTCCGGAGCACCTATTCAGGATTCCCGCAACGTTCCCCTTCGAACAAGACAACGTGACCCATGGATTCGGAGCACGGTGCAATCGGGAAGGGGGCGGCAGAAAGCGGCTGCGGGAGAGGGAGCGCTCCCACCGGAGTCCGCTGTCTGTGCGAGGCGAGTATAGTTTGTGTCAGAATCGTATTATTCATACGAATGAGGCCACGATGCGTGTTCTGAGCCCGCTTCCACTTCTCTCGGATTGGGCGGACTCTGTGCCCGCCTCGGGGGTAACGTCGTGACCTATGCAAACGTACGATTTTGATGAGCCGAGACGTTCATGAGGTTTTGCATTTCGGAAACACCTGACAGCGGGGATGACCTTTTTGGATTCGAAATGCTTCCATGTCGCTCGCTCCCTCGCTAGCGGAAACGATTCCCGTTTTTCTTCGCGACTGGCCGAGCGTAAGATCGAAAGACCGACCGACCAACTGAATGATCAAACGAGTGACCGCGTTGCAGGTTGAGGCCGCCTGTCAAACTCCTTGCAAGCATTGCCGACTCGCCACACCGACTGCTTGTATTGAGCGGTGGTTGCTGCTCGCAAGAGAGAGAAGTCCCTATTGGCTCGTAATTTGCCACACACAGGCAAGCATACACACACACACAGAAGCTGTCCAGAGCTGTGAACAAAGTCTTAAGCAGGAAGCTTCCCGGGGGAGCTGTCTATCGCGGCGGCGGCGGCGGCGGCGGTCACAGCAGCAGCACCAGCGGCGGCCGACCGCCCGACCGACCCGAAGACCGACCGAGCAGGCTTGTTGGGTATATGGCCGGCTGGCAGGCTGGCTGGCTGGTCGACCCGATCCCAAGTCCCTTGCCAGCGCCCCTACCGTCGCTTCCTCCCCAGCTGATTTCCATACATAAACTCGTCTCTAACGAACAGCCCGGGGCAAGAGAAAACTCCCAATTAGGGACCTGCTCTTCGCTTGCTCAAGCACTCGCTCGTTCTCTCGCTGTTCCGCTTATTTTCTCCCGCTCTCTCCGCCCGAAGATCAGACGGACCGACGAATGAACGAATAGACAGCGGGACGAACAGACTGACGCATCGACCGAAGCAACGGGGAGAGAATCGGAGAGCCCATAGAAAAACCGCGAAAATCGAAGAGACAAATAAGCACCGCGGACGCAATCCTTCAACTGTGAGTCAGGGCCTCGGGACCGGGTTACCTCACCGATTCCAATTGTGTACATTCTTCGGGGTCGGTACTGGAATAAAATCGAATCACCATCTTCCTCGATATTCCCGAGGAGAAGGAGCTGCCAGTGATGTTCTTATCGTCGAGATATACCGTCTGTGAAACTCGAATCATGCTGAGGCATGATCATTAGAGGGAAGTTACTCATTGACCGTAGTGGGGGTGATGTCAGGGGGTAAGAACAACGGAACAACTGGGACGATCCGCTCGACTGCTAGTGACAGCTTCAGACTGGGCCGATTTCGACTAAGCGAGCAGACCGCTGCTCCTCCGAATCCTCGTCCGACAAACTCGACACTGGATATTTCCGAAGACTACAGGACTTTTTTCGTCGATGAGTTTACCATGATCTTGCACTTGTGGTTACGACTCGAAGCCGCCACATTCCGGAGAACAACGAACGAAAAAATGCCGCCAAACGGGTACCCACCTGCGCGAACCTACCTAAGCGAGAAGCTCATTCACTCTTGATCGATTCGCATTGTTCCACGAATCCGGCCCGTCGGCTGCTTTCCCGCCGAAACTCTTCCGGCACTTCCAAGACGAGCCGAACTGAAATCCGAGCAGATGGGGTGATCGAATATTGGAAGAAAAAAACGGAGGCACGACCGTAACGAGGTCAAGGTATCACCGCTATGATGTTCTCCGTGCCCACGGATCCCAGGGTATAAGCGGCGGATTATGGAGTCGTGACCTGGAGGCGAGTTGTTTTCTCCCCTCGCTTGCGCGAGCAGCGCTAGAAAAATCGAGTTCTTGAGGGGCTCGTCTGATTCAACGCTCGATGTACTCAATGAGCACTACGACATGGCGTTGGCACTTGTTTTCCTTTCTCCGTCGTCTCCATCTCGATCTTGATGTTATTCCTCGTCCATCCTCCCAGCGCGTCTCTCCTCCGGCACGCAGGCGGACGGCTCGCCTGCAGCCTCTGTTGTTGTTGTTCTTGGCTTAATTCGAATGAGCTCCGGTTCCCCGACCGTCCAAGTCCCCTCGCGGAGCCCGCCGAACTCCGAAATCCCTCCAGCGGATGACTCGCCGCGACCCGCCGTACCAACGACATTTTAGTCCGGGCGGAAAGATATCGAAGAAAAATATCTGAACAGCCTCGTAGCAGGGCAAATAAATAGATAGACAGGCCGACATACGGACCGACCGGTCTGCGCAGCTCTTCGTTCGTCATCGATGTCGGATTCCGATTCTTTCTTGATCCTTTATTTCTTTGACGTTGTTATCCGGGTCTTAGTCCCCCTGTCCCTAGGGCTCAGGAGTTCTTCGCGCGCCGAGTTCGCAACGGAGTGGCTCGTTCTCATTCGGTCCGACAATGACGTTCATCACCATCGAGAGAGCTCCTGAAAGAGCATCGGGGGAAAGCGTTGAAACGATGCCGAGACGGTCATGCCGACTGAGAGCGTAGCTCGAAGAGCGTAACTTCTTCGACCCGTGGGCTGTGAATAGAAATACCATGGGAGCCCGAGCTCCCACCTCTAGAAACACAGTAGGAGCCCGATATTCTCGGGGCTCACACCTTGCGGCCCGGTGACTCTGCTCGCGACATCGCGGAAACAGCGAGTGAGGGACGCTTACGCGATTGGGAATCGGTCAACAGTGGCCGCGCTCCCTCGCCGCATTCGTCGAGCCTGCTTGGTGCGGGGAGATCAAGTGCAAATCCCCTGGATGGATATAACGGATCGTAGTGATAGTCGCGATGATATCAAGCGAAGCGATGGAAAGTTTGTTGCCCATGGCTCCTCGACAATCTGAGCCGACATTGAGAACAAGCGAATGATGATAATTACAAAGTTGATGATGACTGAAGGAATGATCGCAGCGCCGACGGGAAAAGCCGTTCGGCTGAGAGTTAAAACGATGGATTATTAGCCTTTACTCTCCAAGCCCTTAATGAAGCGATGCCACATCGGTCTTTCGATCAAAACCTAGAAGCAACTGTATATTGTGGGTCCGCAAAGAATGCGGCTATCGGGGACTGACGCTTGACCTCCGGAGAATGATTTCTCGTGATGATCGGCGCTCAGACGCTGAATTCCCACGCAAGCTCTCATCATCGAAGCTGTGTCGGGAGATAAGCTTGTTCACGGGTCCGGAAGCCGGACTCGAGTGAGAGAGCGAGAGCTTCCCCCGATACGCTATGTGTTCCGTGGAAGTGAGCGGTCGAATCTGTTGCGTCAATCTTCCGCTGAGCGTGTACACGGTTCTCAAGGATCTTCGCCTGCTTCGTGTGAGGACTCTTCATATCATTCCGCCCGGTTCAGCTCAAAGCGGGCATCCCTTTCAGACTTGGTCATAGTAAAAAGCGATGCACCATGAGCTCAAGTATAGATGAGTTCAGGGCTCCTGGACTGGCTTACGATTTCACGGAAGCTCAGACAGGCTCCGCTCATTTGATGGGATTCTGACTCCAATTTCGGGAGAGGGCAGAGGTGCTTTTTTTGTCGCTTAATTAACTTCTCTTCGGTCAATCAGCTTCTTTGGACTCGAATAGCGACTAATAAGCGCATCGTGGAGAATAATCTCCATCTTTCATCGAACGCTGATCGTCT